CCTAGTGTATATGATATTTAAATAACAACGTTGAGGTATTTCATCCTAATTTCACTATATTAATATTATTTTTATATACAGAATAATATAAATACAATATTACAAATTTTATAAAAAGCATAGATTTTTATGATTGCATTGCTAAGCAATAATTGGTTAGAGGTCCATTAATAAAATCTCCACTTTATTGCACAGTGGTCCTCATTGAGCATTTTTAAAAATTCTTCTATAGCTTATTATGCACGAAATGAATCATTTAATCTGATTTTATACAATGTTAAATTGATAAGTAATAGTAAACTAGCTAATATTTGTTATGACTTTTATCTTTTAATTGTCTAACATATAATATAATTTATTCAAAATCTTTATCTTTTTAATGTCTCCCTAATTTTTCGAAATGTTTACTAGCAACGCCTGATTATAGTAGTTCGCTACAATCTTGGGACAGGACAGCATATACTTATGGAACCAGATATTAACATAGCGGATGGAAGCCGCCATGTAGTGCGCTTTGAACGTATCGGGGCATTAGCACTGTTACAGATCGATGCTGGCATGGTACGTATTGCCAATCCTTCAGGTCAGTAAACATTTTTGATAGAATTATAAAGTTGAATATTGACAATATTATTCAGTATCAAGGTAGAGACCAGCATTAGCTATAGAAGCAAGGTATTGGCTAGAATCATTAACTATGTGAACAGAAAGAATAAAGAAAGGTCCGAAAGATTTAGCACTATATAACTTATACTTTAAGTCAGTTCTAATACATATGTAGTAGAATCTAATCATCTGAAATATACAACCAAGGCTAAAATATTGAATCCGTTTTTCACAACTAATCATATCTAATAATAACAATATACTATGATATTTTCTTGGTTATATCTAAAATTTCTAGGCGTTTATATAGGAATTAGCGCATTTGAAGCTAGTAAGTTTATTATATTGAGCCATTTCTGTGTTAGTTTACTTATGTGTTATATTTCCATATTATTACTCTTTAAAAAATCGAATGAATTAAGGGTAAACATGAATAGCCTATTTGCTTTTAACTTATAGATATTTGAAAAAATATTATATTTAATAACGTGCTAGCAATTTAGATTGAGTTCTACAACTATATTTTGGAAAAGAGTAATTGAATGGGGCTCCCATTCACAACCATTACAGTAGTTTTAATTCGAATTCTGCCTTATAGCATATTAATTGCCAAACTAAGTACAGTGTACCGCACACATTAAGCTGAAAATTAAAATTATAAGCAAATATATATAATATATCGTGGAAATTATTTCCTATTTGTAAGCTACCTCTCGAGAAATAACTTTGTTTTCTTCAGCTAATGAGCAATGATTTATACTAAAATTGGAAATTCTCTAGAATCATAGTAAAATATGATAAAAATGACTAATTACAAATATATTTTAGTTATTTATAGAATTGCTAATTAAACTAAAATAAAGGGCAAGGTAAATTTAAAATAGTCATTCACAATATTGTAGTGGGCGTTCATACCTACATTTAATACATTTTGATAGCTTTGATAATTATAAAACTTTGAAATATGAAAATTCTAGGCAAGCAAAGCAGTCACTTTAATGGACAGCGACGCATTTACTTGGGGGGAGCGAATTCTCTCTTTAGTGGTGAAGAACGTGGAGTATTTCAACCATGCATTTCCTCATCAAAAAATCTCTTCAAGAGATCGATAAAGGGAGGAAAGAATTCTAGCATTCGCATGCCCTACTTGGGAAAGATTTCAGGTATAACGCTAGTTGCATTAAAATCTTACACACATTTTCAATCTAATTTTTAAATCACAAAATGAAGTTTGTATGAAGTAAAAACAAAATAGTAAAATTTTATATGTTTTTATTATCTATCTACTATATCTTTAATCTAGATAAAATTTGTTAAAATAGTTTAGTTTTATTACTGCATATATATTATTTTTTACCGAGCCAATATGCTAATCTTACTAATTAAAATATTTTAATATTTGACTAAATTGTATTTAGACAATGTGTAATTTTATAGGACCATATATTTAACTACATTTAATAAATGAATATTTTTGCAGTGAATAAATTTATAAAAAGATTTAATAAGGCCACAACTACAATATTTAAGCAAAATACTGTAGTGATAGCAACAAAAAATCTAGTTTAAATTACTTCTAAATTTTAGCTGCACCGTTACTACCAGCTAGTCATATGGGATTTGGCTAGCCTAGGTCTCACTAGAAATAAAAGCGGGATTCAGGATCTGTTTATGAACATGGTGGCAAAATCTTACCACCGTACTACTCAATGAATGTGCCGAGTTTAAATGGCTAGATAGAAAATAATTAGTTTAAGGCCTTATTTATTATAATCCACTTAATAGTTAAATTAGATAAATGGTACTAAACATTATTTATCGACTGCCATATTTTCTTGAAATTAGCTTAGCCTCTCTATGGTTAGCAAGGTAATTTATCACTTTGGATGAAGCAAATTCTCATTATGTCTTTTTTTAATCTTCTTACATATAGGTTAGTTTCTCGTCACCCTTGTCGATACACTTTAATTAGCTTTTTACGATTTCTCATTTATCATATATTTTTCTTAAAAAATTAACGAATATTTGTTTGAAGAAAATGATTTATTACATGAAAGAGCCTAGAAAGTTTCATTATAATTAATGATGTATTACTTAGCGTTATGGAAAGTATAGATTTTTCAGAAATGAAGGCTTTATAAATATTTTCTAACTTTGAAAGTAATTACAACTAATGCTAATTATATTCAGGAAATATTTAATCCATAATTTTGTTGAAACTGAATCCAGTGTATGAGAATTGAGTAGGCTCCGAAACGACTAATAAAAATTTAATAATAACTATATCAGCACCAAATCGCGTAAGAGGATAAAGGGCTGGTAGTTGAATATTAAAGAAGTGATATGAGCAGTCCTTACTTTTCAAATGAGCTTCAGATAGCTTTGAATTCTATAAAGCATTCTCATCCAGTGTTGACTGAGGTTTTGAACTGGCTTAGACCTAAACAACATCGCTAAGGAGAAATTAACCCAAATAATACAGCACAAAGTCTAGATACGTTATGGACTACGCCAAATTTGCACGAATATCCTTCAGTCACAGAGCGAAAGTAAATTTCAAAGAGGGTTAGGTCTTTCTAATATCTTATTTGTATGATGGGCTTGTAATATAAATCATAATCTATCTTTGGCTTTTGAAATTAATTTAAGATTTATTATCCTATAATTTCTATAGTAAAAAATCCACTTTGTAAGAAATATATTTTGTTTGCATAATGGTCTTATATTACTACAGCTAAAAAAGTATTAATATTTAGCCTCCTTGAAACTTGGGATAGTAAAAATATTGCATGAGCTATACTTACAGATGCTATTCATTTGTATTTGTTAAACCGCCTCAATTTGATTTATTGTGGTAATTTCAATAGTAATTTATCATATTTATGATAAAGTTAAGTTTTAAATATCATATCCTACGTTTGTCCTTTCTTAATAGGAATTACATTGAACGGAATGTCGATAAGTGATGCAGTATATGGTCGTCTAGTTTCTGGTCTCAAACTAAAAGTGAAGCACAATGTAATGATAGATAGAAAGAAAATCCAGCAGGAATGCAATAAACAAAATTTAAACGAAGCACGATTACAAGAATCAGCTTCCAGGCAAGGAAAATATTTTATACCAAATTTTCATTTCCTTCTAACAGCAACGTTTGTAAAATTAAACCTTGTGAAATTTGCTAAATGAATTTGTAAATATTTTCAGCCTATATAATTTATATAAGGTAGGCTTTACCTGAGTTAATGTAGTACTCAATCTTTTATGATTTTATTAGTTGCAGTATTTTGGTTATATAAAACCATATAAATAAACGTTTCTCCTATTAACTTATTAAATATAATTTTTTTTAATGCAGTATAAAAGAAAGTGGTCCAAATACTCAGGTGAATAACGATATGCAGGATGCCCAGGTAACCAAGATATATGAAGATTATTTGTAAATTTAAAAGTCTGTCAGCAATCTCATAATTGATTTTTAAATATAGCGTCACCTTGCAATCTATAATAAGGTCTGGATGAAGATAACTGTTGCCAAATTATAACTCTCGTCTTCATTGTATAGATATATTTCCTGAAAATCAAAATAAGTTGTAATATATATAACATAAAGCATTTCTCATAATTTTAGTGATATCTGGAGACATATGAAAGACAAAGATAAATTTATATCAGGCAATTCCTACAAACATCTCCATCATTTTTATTCAGCATTTTGGTATTTCTTCAGGTCTTGCAGCTTAAAATATTTACGAGATTT